TGTGTGTGTGTGTGTGTGTGTGTGTGTGTGTGTGTGTGTGTGTGCGTGTGTTCTTGTAGAAGAAGCAAAATTCTACAGGTTTAGAAACAACATGAAGGGGAGTAAAGAAATGTCCTACTTTTCATTGGAACTACCCCTTCAAATCTGTTGTTAAATACAGGTTTTCAGTCCTTGGATTATAGTCTCCGCCCGGGGTGATTTATTCCAAAATCGATAAGGTTGATGCCAACCTGGGCGAGCATAATCACTCCAATTCACTACAACTAGAGCGTAAAATGTGTAAAAGACACGTAAACAATTTAGGAAACAATTTAGGCTGCATTACTGGAGAAAATACGAATCCAAAATCCAATTTGACCTTCAATCACTTCATAATGTGACTCAATTTTCAAGGATCAAAGACAGTTTCGCTTCTAGGCCTCTGGAGTAATGGACTTCATAAACTTTTCCACCAGGCCAATGTAAGAGCATTGGAGGTTTGCTTGATGGTAAAGAATGAGCTTATGTTTTCTGGCATGCGGTATAAATGGTTCGGAACAAATTTTCTGTGAACAAATTAATCCTGTAGCCCTTTATAACTTGTCGACTAGTCGGTTGTCAGACAACTAGTTGACTGTCGTGACCCATTTCCAAAACAATTGTGACAATCAACAATGCCTAAAACTAATTTACCTTTTTAAATATGCATTTTTACCACAGCAAACTGTAAGGGAGCTGAGTAAAACACTCGACTGAGATTAAGCAGACTGTCTATGTCAAACTAAACAAGCAAAAAGAAGTGTGACGTGTGGTGAAGTCAGCAGCATGAGCAGCAGTAACTGATGGTGGTCAGATAAGCGATGAAACTGCTGCACATTCAGCAGATTCAGTATTAACCTTTATCAGAAGAGAAAAAGCCTTTAAAAGGACTATAAAAGGACAGAGACATCTTCTTAGTTTCAAACTGCACACAGTGGAGCTGAGGGCAAAGAAATGACCCTCACTTTATTGAAAATGTTCAAAGGTCTTTTGACAAAAGCGCACCCGAGGTCCAGTTGAGTATCTGATCTGTGCACTGACTCACAAGCACTTACTGCTCAAAAAGGGAAGGAGCTCCATATGTTTGACATGGACAAACCGCTAAACTTTTATTAGTTGCACCTCACAGATTGCCTTTTGGCTTGGACAAGTTTTCTTGATGTTGGCTTCAGGTAAAAAGAAGGAGGGGAAATTCAATATTCGATAATTAAACAACTTTCCTATTGCGAACTTGATCACAGAACAAATGCGCCAACACATGAGGACAGTTACCAAGCGGTTTCGTGAAGAAACATACATAAACAGAGAATCCATTTTAAGGTAATTACTGATTGCTGCTGCGAGTTTTAGGCCAAGACACCGACAGAGCACTACTTTTAAGATCACTTGTATCAGCTCTTTTTACTGGAACCACTTTTTACTGGAACCACTAGGAGGGCAGAAGCTTAGAGGACACAGTGGTATATAGTATAGCCAAACTTCCTGTGAAGTGTGTGTGAGCCTGTGAACACTGAAATGGTGTGGCTCAGCGAATATCTATCCATGAGCCAAACACGAAAAGCTTTAAGCAAATAATGCACAGATCTAACATTCATTTGCGTTATACACTCATTGGGTCTCATTCACTAATCAAATATTTCAAAATCATGAATAATTAGATGTTAATAATAAAACAAATATATAGTAATATAGTAACTTAAACTTTAAAAATATTGCACAATATTAATTATACAGTTAGAGATATAGTTATAAGTTTTAAGCTTAATCACATGTCTAAAAGTTTCCTCAGAATAGCCTGGATTCATCTACATGTGAATGAGAATAAGAACAATTCTATGTGCATAAACATGTTAATCCGATGGAAATGTGTTTCTGTGAGCACCTAATTTGTACACACTTATTAGTGAATGAGAGCCATCGAGATAAGCTTCTTCGATAATGCAGGTGTGAACATCTACAAACACCTGTTAAGGAGAGACAAATGAAGGATCACATGATGTTCTTTTCCCATAGTCAAGCTATTTGCCTCTGGCAGCAGAATTCTTAAGGGTCAAATCCTGAACTATTCTTGAGAAGCTATTTAACTGCATACTAACAAGCCTAAACAAGAGCGCTTCAATGGAGCCGAATCTAGTCAGGGGAAGTGGATTATTCATTTAATAAATAAAAAAAAGGGGGCAACGCCAAATTGACGCCAGCCTTGCAATCTTGGCTGAATAATAACCTTTTCACCAAACAATCTGAACTTGGCTCTAGTCTATGTCTCCTGGGCAAAGGGAGAGGTTTTGTTTGCAAAATAAATAGAAAAAAGATTAGCTATTATTACTACCAGGTTATGTTCAAAGTCTCTCATCCATAATTCACAGGAGACTAACCCTAACGTAGAAATATTTTGTAGTGACATACTTCACCACTTCATTCTGTTTCTGATTTTGTCCAGATGGACTTCATACTCATAAATGACTGTTACACAGCACAGGTTTACCTCCATACCCTACCCTCTCATGAATGCAAGTAATGAGTGGGTGAAAAATCAGATTTGAGGCCAATCCCAAAACTCTGGGGCAAAGTCAAAGCCACTGACCTTTAATTCCCCCTTCTTCTCTAATCTCATGCTATCCTTCTTCAAGGTGATCCGTTTCTCTCGGAGGCATCAGGGGAAAGGTTTAAAATGTTTTGGAATGCCCCAGAGTCTCCCAGTGGGGGTCTTCCAAACATTCCACGGGTAGTTTTTCTCTCCGTCTGCTTTGTTTCCAGTGGGTTTGAACAGTCTTTTTTGTTCGCTCGCTGTTCTAAACAGGCTGAAGTCTACACATGTGCGCTCTGAGGACAGTCTAATGTCCTTTTTTGTATGTCAGCGGAACTGTGATTATGTGGCATGCATGTCTATGTTATCTAAACTTTATCTACCTAAGCTTGTCAAATGGAAGTGATGACAATGCACTAAATCGCTGTTTTAATCAGACAGTCATTGCTTAAGATCTCCCTGGTTCCTAAAAAAGTCTTTTAACAGTGGTTTGAAGAGTGGTTTTCAACCGGTGCACTGTGAAACAATATTGGGAGAGCAGGGATACTGTGCTAAATTCAACTAACTACGTATATTGGGACACTAAAACAAAGAGGCTTAAAGTCCCCATGAAATCAAAATTGAAGTTTTTTTGGCTTTTAGTATGAATCTGTTAGCCTCACTATTATCTATAAGGTAGTGTGCTCCAAAACAATGACAAAATTTGCATTCAAAACTTACAGTCCCAAAATCATGATTTTGGTGACGCTTTTCATCAGATTTTCTGTCCAATCAAATGCTCTCTAGAATCTAAAGCGCCCGCCCCCATATTATAAATAGACGCTGACATTGACGCCTGTTATTTGTTCACACAATTACTATTTTCTACATGGTGAATGGCACATAGTGCACAATTTAGGTGATAGGGAACGATTCCGACAGTAAATATGCTTTCCATTGGGGCGAATGAAGTCTGGTTTCACGTTAGTGTCACTGAACCGCCGCAGCGCGCACACAGTCTGCTCCGGTCCAGAGACACGATAGCACAGAGCGGATTATATGCACGAGTCGGGGCAGACCAGAAAACGTATCGGACCCATTGAATTCTGCACAGAATGCTATATTTTAAAGCGATATGGAGGAGATTATGAGGAGAAACGGTTAGGAAACTGCAGCTTTACGGAGCTCAATGGCTCTGGCTGAGCTGTGATATAAACGAAACGCTATTGGCTATTTTAAAAAAGGGGAGGAGCTGCTTGATATGTCCCGCCCTGTCTTCCTGTTTCAGTGGAAATTATGTCAACACACTGAATAATGCTGCACGTTTCAAGGCACTTCAGTAAACCTTTAACTTTGTTTTTTTCATGGATTGGCCCTTTTGGGGTTCAAACTAGCAATCATTCAGCAACCAACTTAGATCTTTAACCAACACACCCCTTATGTAGTTATGTAAACACTTAATAATCTTGATCAGACCAAAGTAAAATAACAATCCTTCCTGGCACTGACCCCAGATATTTAGGATCTGGAGGAGCTATGGGTCAAAATGCACTTGAATCATTATTGCCCACAGTTTAATGTTACAAAACTGTGCATGTCATCACTGAACGAATGAATTTAGGATGTGGTCATGACCCGTTACAAGAAGTCTGATTTGTAACCTTCATTTGGCTGGTGAAACAAGTTGTCTAACTTCCTTTTTTTTTTTTTTGGGATTGATTGACAGAATTAGCTGTACACCAATAAAATGTTTTACAAGCCTATATTGTAGCAGTTGAATATTATGTTCTTTACTCAATTTCAAACAAAATTTAAGTAGAGACATCTAAAAACATGACTATCGCCAACACACTCTCATGGCAATTCATAAATATTTTACATTTTGGCAAATTCGTGGCTAATTTGTATGATCTCATTCGTACATTTCTGTAGGATCTGCTTACGCCCCAATGACAGACACATTGTTCAACTGCTAATGAAATTGGATGTTGCATAGCTTATTAGTTATTATGACTATATTATAAGCATCATACTGAATATATGATTGTTTAAGATTTTCTCTAAATGCTTTATTGTAATGAATGTGTCCAGTTCGTTTGTTGACTGCATCCAAGATTCAGCTCATAAAAACAAAGTAATTTAATTAGAACCTAAATTAGCTACCTTTAATAGGCTATATAACATGAACAATTGAAAAGCGTTTCAGCATGTTCAAATAAAATTCAAAACCAAATAGTGTTGATAAAACTGACACACGATTTAAAGAGTCAAATCATTGACACCTGATCATACGGAAATGTCAGAATGAGACGGGTTCTTGGGTCAATGATTCGGAGAAACGCTCGGATCGATTCAGTCTGATTAGCGAACAAATTGTTCAGACCGGTTTTGTGAACCGGCTCATTTAAAAGATCCGACTCAAATGAACAAATCCAGTAGGCTATGAATTAGACTTCGCTACTTCAGTAATACTCACCTGATCTTGAGATGTTCTGGAAGTATAATATGAGAATGAAAAACGACCCGACGCATGTCGCCAGAAACATCCGACCCACTTTGGGCTTTATCATTCTGATACTCCTCTAAAGGACGATGCCCGACTCTCGCCCGGCGACAGAGGTCCGCGAAGGGCTGAAGAACAATCCTAAAAGCGTCGGTCCAGCGGGTTCCTCATTTTAGAGAGAAACAACATATTTCCAGTCCAAATACAACTCCGTGAAAACTAATTCTGATACACGTTTCACCCGAAGCAGCCCGCTTGTCTAACCGAGAACAGACCGCTTTATAGGTGGGTGTTACACGAACCATTCACCTAAAAAACTTTACAGGTCCAACTCTGTTTCATCGAGCCGTCGCTTCCCACGCGGTCCCGTCAACTAGTGCATACATTCCATTGAACATCTACATGTCTTCTGTACGTCACATGTTGCTGTTGTCAGTTGAATTCAACTTCCCCTAAACATGGAGGGCATTGTATCAAACTTTCGGGGATGACGTCACGCTCACCAGCATCTAGCTGAGTGCCCGGGGGCCCCTGGATGTGACGCAACGACTGGAACCCCTCTGAAGTGTGCACGTAAAACTCGAGCGTTTTGAAACGTTGCTGAACGAAACCAAAAAAAGGTTTTAGTGTCCCAACTGCTTTTCAGACTTAAAAAGTAAATGTAAATTCATTTTATATTTCACTTTTATGACTTTAAAGAAGAAATGTCTAATCTATCTTTTTTTTTTTTTTTTTGCATTTCTTTCGATGTGATAATCAGACACTTTTATAAATGTGTCTAGTTCTAAAATACCATACATTATGTGTCAAAAGTGATTTTTGTACAAATAACGTATGTTTAGTGACATCTGGTGGAAAATACAGGAACATTCTGACTGATTGCTTTACTCTTATCTCTAATAACTTTTAAGACTAGTTGAGCAGTTTATGCAACAGACCCTATAGGTCTTCAAACTTCAAGAACTCCTTCATTGATAAACAGACAGAAGCTGTTACACACTGCATAAAATTGAGTGTTGCATTTCAAACCTGTTGATGAATTTACATCAGCTATATTTACATTGCATGTCATTTAATAATCATTATTGATATAAGTCATATACTTGTAAATTAAAGTTTTCTTAAGGTTGTGGTGAATTGGCCAAACACAGCTTCCATTAAAACCGTACAATCAGCATAACCCTGTTTCTAAGATAAGGTATCACAGTTGTCCGCTTCACCTTTTGTTCAGCACAAAGAAAAGCATGCCTGCATATAATATCCTGCTTATTTACAGTGAATGTAGAAATGCCGGTTTTACAGGTTGCTAACAATATCATGTATTAATCCAAGATTTGAATAAAAATCCGATTTTAAACAATTTCCCCATGTGAAGAGCTTTAATAATAAGCCCTATTTTGGAACAAGTCATGTTGATCCCGGTCAGAGTTAAAGTCCAATAATGACTGGTCTGATGGTTGATTCAGAGTCAGAATGACCCAGGAAATGCTGTTCCACTATTTATATACATGCAACATATTCTATATATTAAATTTACAGTAGCAAGTAATATAAGACTTATATTCTCATATTATAAAGTCATTTATCTTACAAACCAAATTTAAGGACAATAAATGTATACTGGCCGAAATAGATTTCACTCTAAAAAAAAAAACTGCTCAAAACTGCTGGATAAAGAGATGGACAGTGAGTTAAAGAGACTTTTTGAGGATGTACTGTAATTTGACAGGATGGTGGAGAGTTACAAATTTCCATATTATCCTTTATAAATATTATATTTATAGTAACAAGTAATAAAAGAATTACAATGAATTACAATGCCTCATTCATTCATTCATTGAAAAATGGTAAAGGTTTTGGCATTTGCTGAACACAAAAAAATAGCATTTTTCAGAACAATACATATCAAATAAAAACTTATTTCCAATTTTTTAAAACTTTCTTTTACTTCAGTAATAATCTCCCAAGTGTTGTCTGTAAAAAGAGTCTGTGCTCCGAAGCATTTCAGATTTATAACAGTTTAAGTTAGACATTTTATTTTCAGGTCACTCAAAAAGTGAATAACTGGATTATAACTGCATAAATACTGTATAATTTTGTAACATAAAATCCCCTATAAATACAAGATATTAAATAAAATACATTATCAAACTAAAATATGGTACAATCATTGAAATAACATGTATAAAAAAAAATCTGTCATTTTTGACCGACACATGAAGAGTACCAGAGGGTTAAACAGGTCAGCTGTATACAGATTGACTAATGCATCAGTATGTGTGCTACATGTGCATCTCATGTTGTTTGCTTGGCCACAGAGGTGAACTGAATGCACATGAACACATTTAGATAGTTCACGGTCAAGATGATACATAATATTGGTTAGATACAGTGGGAAAACAGTCATCCTATGTGGGCTTAATGGTATAAATCATGTTTGTCCTCCCTTTATGATATCACCCCAAGCAGATCCTTAGAGATCAATCAGTGCCTGAAATCCAGAAGTGTGTGTGCATGTGTGTTGATTCAGTAACTGCTTTTTAAACACTTCATAAGGGTGTTTGAAGTGAAATATGTTTGATATGTAGCCTGGCGGTATCTTTCCTGTCAGAAAGGTCAGTATGTGGGATTGAGTGATCCACTGCTTGCTCGGAATCTATGCGCCAAATATGGTCATGATGATGTTTTTGTGGGTAGGCTTTTTCTCACTTAGATTTACACTTAGTCAGTTATGTATATTTATGCATTTGGAATACACTTGGTCAAGGTATTTATCTGACAAAATTATTTGTCAAAAAAGGCAAACTACAGCTCAAGTTTTACTTCCTAGGCGTAAAAAAAAAAAGCAAAGAAAAACAAAATTAATAATTTTTCGTTGGTACTCTCCTGTTAATGCATGTGTTCATAATTTCGTTGTATGACAGCCTGGCCCAGAATTTGGCATCATGTCTCATTGTGTTATCATCACAAATAAAACAATTCTCTCCAAGCTCAACTAATATGATTACAAAATCTTTATCTAATTTTTAATAATATTTAAATAAAGGGTTAAGATATACAGTATATACACTCACCGGCCACTTTATTAGGTACACCTGTCCAACTGCTCGTTAACACTTAATTTCTAAGCAGCCAATCACATGGCGGCAACTTAGTGCATTTAGGCATGTAGACATGGTCAAGACAATCTCCTGCAGTTCAAACCGAGCATCAGTATGGGGAAGAAAGTTGATTTGAGTGACTTTGAACGTGGCATGATTGTTGGTGCCAGAAGGGCTGGTCTGAGTATTTCAGAAACTGCTAATCTACTGGGATTTTCACGCACAACCATCTCTAGGGTTTACAGAGAATGGTCCGAAAAAGAAAAAACATCCAGTGAGCGGCAGTTCTGTGGGCGAAAATGCCTTGTTGATGCCAGAGGTCAGAGGAGAATGGCCAGACTGGTTCGAGCTGATAGAAGGGCAACAGTGACTGAAATAACCACTCGTTACAACCGAGGTATGCAGCAAAGCATTTGTGAAGCCACAACACGCACAACCTTGAGGCGGATGGGCTACAACAGCAGAAGACCCCACCGGGTACCACTCATCTCCACTACAAATAGGAAAAAGAGGCTACAATTTGCAAGAGCTCACCAAAATTGAACAGTTGAAGACTGGAAAAATGTTGCCTGGTCTGATGAGTCTCGATTTCTGTTGAGACATTCAGATGTTAGAGTCAGAATTTGGCGTAAACAGAATGAGAACATGGAACCATCATGCCTTGTTACCACTGTGCAGGCTGGTGGTGGTGGTGGTGTAATGGTGTGGGGGATGTTTTCCTGGCACACTTTAGGCCCCTTAGTGCCAATTGGGCATCGTTTAAATGCCACGGCCTACCTGAGCATTGTTTCTGACCATGTCCATCCCTTTATGGCCACCATGTACCCATCCTCTGATGGCTACTTCCACCATGTCACAAAGCTCTAATCATTTCAAATTGGTTTCTTGAACATGACAATGAGTTCACTGTACTAAAATGGCCTCCACAGTCACCAGATCTCAACCCAATAGAGCATCTTTGGGATGTGGTGGAATGGGAGATTCGCATCATGGATGTGCAGCCGACAAATCTGCGGCAACTGTGTGATGCCATCATGTCAATATGGACCAAACTCCCTGAGGAATGCTTCCAGCACCTTGTTGAATCTATGCCACGAAGAATTGAGGCAGTTCTGAAGGCAAAAGGGGGTCCAACCCGTTACTAGCATGGGGTACCTAATAAAGTGGCCGGTGAGTGTATATATATATATATATATTGTACATGGATGGGTCATCATGTTGAACTGTATTTTGCTGAATTAATCAAAGACTTATTGTCATTTTGGCCGTTAAAACAAACAAAAAATGACTTTGTGCTCTTTTAAAGCTAAAAACATCAGTGAAACAAATAATCAATTGAAATGTTTACATTTTTAGGATGTTTAAAAAAGTTGCATCTTTGAAGATATCACAGAGCAAATAATCAATCCAAACACCCTTTTACATTTAGAATAGCTCTTTAATGTTCTGTTTTCTCTGGCCTTTGTCGTGCTTGTTTTGGCAGTCGTCTCGCGGTCTCTGTGAGTCAGCATGAACGAGTCACACTGAGATCAGCCAGAGCTGCTCTCAAAAAGACCTCGATCTGAACCCTTCTTATTCAGGAAGTGCATCGCTTCATAAGGGCGATGAAACCAAAGCCACGTCATGACCTCCAGACCTCTGCTGACCTCTGTCCAAAGGTTATGAGAGTCTATCATATCTCTTTTTTTGGTCCGTTTATTAAAAGCAGCAGGATGGGTCAATGACTTCACAGTTCACTTTTCTGATTGGATTGGATTCTGGGGTCCTTCATTTAACAGTCACAGTTGGGGCCTTAAGGGCGGGATTAATATTTATGAAAAAAAATCATAATGTTTTTTTTTTTACTTGTTTTTTATAATATTTTTTCTTTTCTTTTTTGGTGTTTTGAGATAATTTTATGATTTATAATTAATATTTATGCAATGATTATGACCTCTTTTTTCTCCTATTGAATATAATAGAATTTTTTAATATATATATATATATAAATTTTTTTTTATTATTATTATTTTTATTAAAGCTGTATTTCATTTTAGAGTCAAGCCTAGGCCTCATGAAAGCAATTTTTGAAATGAGATGGATGCCATCTGGTGGACACACTGAGCATTTTAAAATTTCAAAACAGATATGTAATCTGAATTTATTAGTGTGTATGTGTATAAAAGTGTGTGTGTGTGGATGTGTCTGTTTTGCACTCTTGATGTTTTATAGATTCACCCCTTCACTGTTGTGTGCTTTTTTTTCTGGATCGTGGCTGATTTGTAGATTGTACGCACAAAAAAACTCTGTATTTTCACATTTTTGCCAATTTCCCATTCATTTCCTATGGGGGTCCATTTGGACCCGAAGGTCCTGAGTGTTACTATTTTTTTTTACAACCACTTAGACTATTC